TACTTAGCTCATTAAGTCCTGGCTTCTTTTTAAGTTTGCTTCTCAAGTATCTGTTATTTATTTCTTTCTTTTTTTCAGAGCCAGGGATTGAACTCAGGCCCTTTCTTATTCAACTGAGCTATCTCCCCAGCCCCAATTTATCCTTTCTTGCACTCTTCTAAAGGTGGCAAGAAAAATCCCACAATGCGCTTCAATATCTTGCTTAGAAATTTCGTCAGAATATTCAAGTTTATCATTTGTAAGTTCTGCTTTACATGGAACTGCAGGAAACAACTTTACAAAGCGCTCTGCAACTTCCTCCAGGTTCAAGGGCATGTATCTCACTTTGTTGGTCCTTTAAAGTCCAGATTTCTACTAAATCTGCTCAAGGAATATGCTCTTCAACGTTCTCCTCCATGGCTTGGACAGCAGTGCAGTGGTAGACAGCTTACTTAACACACACATGGCTTCACTTCACACCTTTCCACTCCCACCACAGAAAACCCCTGAAGTTTTTTCCCCCCTCTTTTTCCATCCCTTAGCCAACAGTAATTCCAGTTATGCCCACATCTTTAGGTGTTCGTTTTGGCAGCATCCCACTGATACCAAAATCTATGTTAGTTTTCTATTGCTGACAAATTACCATAAATTTAGCAGTGTAAGGCAACACTCATTTATTATGTCACATTTCTTCAGGTCAGAAGTCAAGGTGGGCTCAGCGAGATTCTCAAGTCAAAAGCTTTACTGGGCTGGGGTCTGTTTGGAGTTAAAGAATGTACAGCACTCCAAGTTCACTTAAGTAGCTGGCAGAATTCAGTTATTTGAAGTGTATGACAAGGCCCCACTCTATTGCTGGCTGTCACAGAGGTCATTATGAGGTCTTAGAGGTCACTCTCTCAGGTTCTTTCCTGGAGCCTTCTCCACTCTCAGTAATGCAGGTTCTCCTTCATGTCAAATTCCCCTCACATCTGAACCTCTCTGATGGTTTCTTTTATTAACCAGAGCAAACACTCTGCTTTGAAAGAGCTCAAAGAATTAAGTTAGGCCCAACCAGATACCCTTCCTATTTTAAGACCAGCTAATTAATGATGCTAATTATATCTGCAAAATTCCTTTTGATTGTGATATAACAACCATAGGAGTAACAACAGGAGGAGGCCATGAAGGCGTGTGAGAATTTTGACTGCCACACAGGCCATCTATACAATCTTCTTTATTTGTATAAACAATTCTTTCAAAATATAAAAAATATTTTCAGCTTACAGGCCTTACAAAACAGGTCACTGGCCAGAGTTAGCCCACAAATCAATGTGCATCAGAATCACCTGAAATGCTTATTAAAATACAGTGAAGTGTAGTCAGTAAGTTTGGAACAGGAACTGGTAATTTGGGATATTAGAAACCTGTAACAAGCTCCAGGCATACAGCCTAGAGGGCTGGTCCAAGGATCACTCTCTGAGAACCAACTGTTTGCAGGAAGCTTGGCATGTGATCCGCAGTTGTCTTTCAACTGAGGACACTTATTGCAAGATGAAACTCATCACATCTTCCTTAAGTATCAACTTTGCTGAATAGCAGCAACTCACCAAGAACTGTATTAATTACATATGCTAAGGATTTAATCAAGATTTTTATTCCTCCAGATTAGAACAACATATAGACACCTTCACCATCCCCACAGCTAGCCACTGCACAGGTACTGCTGACCGGCTGTTGTTTGTTTACATAGGAAGGATTGTGTACGTACGTGGTGAAAGAAGTAAACGGCTTGATTTTAATAAATCCTAAGAAATAAATCTAATAATATTAGAAACTACAATAAGTCAAATAAGAAATAAAACTGGGAAAAGGAAAGTGAGAAAGGCTATTCAGGCAAGTGTTACTGACAGTAATGTAGTACCAAAATCTGCCAGTGCAAGTGGGTTATGCACTAAGAAAGAGTACGCACTGTAAGGCCAAAGTTGAGTGAAGAGAAGTGAGTCACATTCTAAGACCATGGCAGGAAAGATGACTGACAACATCCAGCTGCTGGCTATGGGATAAGAAATGACTATAGCAAGCAAATATTAGACCATCTGGCTACTTCAAGGCACTTGATAGGAAACCTTGACGGCTAACTGGCTCTAAGTGCAAGAGCAACTTACTGAAGGAGTGAGGCAAAAGTGAACCAGGTCAGTATCTAAGTGTCTCAAGAATGAAGCCTGAAATCATCCTGTGGAACTGGCCTGGCCAGGGGCATTGCTGTGTTTCCACAGGGCTCTTATGTGTGAAGGACTTTTCTTTCCTGCAACTGTCTGGCTCATCACCAAATCTGTGCCTTCACTGACAGAGCTATTTTAGAATTATTACAGCCTCTGATCTCCGGGAGCTGCTCCCATCCACCTCATGGAAATGTAACGTGAGCGCAGTGTCTGCTTCTCTGTTGGGTCTACACTGAGGTTTGCTAGAAATGACAAGAGTGGTGAAGTCCAGCCACAAAGCCTAAGCTCCACTGACCAGTGAGACAGGGAAAATGAACCCTAGCCCTCCCTTAGTGGGTGGACAGACAGCATTACGTAGGACTTCCCAGTCATTTGAAAGTTGTTGGAAACATACATAGGAGAGAAGACAACATGTCTACCACAAAATGTGATGAATTAAGCATATAAAGTGTATTTAAAATTAACCCACTTTTGTGCCTAACTAACCCATTAGTAATAGAGTCAGAGAACACTGGAGATGCATAGAACCTTACAGATAATTTTGGCCTAGTCCTATTTTACTGGGCACCGGATAACCAAAGCAATGCGATCACTTTCCAAGTTCACACAGCTAGTTGCAGAAATATCTTAGCCTTTTCAACTCTTGGCCTAGCTTTAAGCACACAAGATCAAGGAGGCGTTCCTCTTACTATAGCACCTTCTTCATGGTAAACGTTAACTTCGCCTTCAGAGAAACTCCTTGTTTAGTTTTCAGAAAGACATTTTGGTGACACTGGTCTTTATTTCTCCCAGTGCATTGATTTAAATTTTATGTGCAGAATTCTATTTTTCTATTATGACCATGAAAATAAACTGTAAACTTTAAGTATGTTTTAAATTTTTGACTGAATTAAAACTCTCTGCCAAAAGGCTAATGTTCTTACAACAAGAATTACTCACAAGGCACTGTACTATTTAGTTGTGTATGTGCCTCTTCTTTATGGATGTGCCTCTTACACGCATGTTATCTCACAAACTAGAGGGAAACTCACCCAAGTAAACTGTAATTATGAAATTTATCCATACAATTAAGATTAAAATATGTAGCAGATCCGTACATTCTATTGATATATTTTATGACCAGACATCACATAGAATTATGATACTTAACTTCTGACATACAGAGTCATAAAACAAGCAGGGAGGTTTTGAGAAGGTAGGGAAAAGACAAACTCAGCGACTGAATTAGAAGTGTTCATCACAAAGAACATTTCCTAGGAGTAAAGGACAGTTTCATTCAGATTTAAACACGCTGTTTCAGAAGCTATGCATTTAGCACTTGTTCCTTACGGTAAACAATCCCTAGAAATTCACTGTGCTGCACGAGCAAAGCAACAGTTATGAGATCAGTGACTACAAGCTAGCTCATGTCACGTCGGTGTACACAGAAAGCTACTTAGTTAGGCCAGAGACAAAATCACAATATTTTTATATCTTCATTTTCTTCGAGCAATTATTACAATTCGTATAGAAGTTGAAACCAATAATTTAAAATAAATAAAGCAACACAAAATAGATACCCCTTGGTGATACAACCTTTGTCTTCCAATTTAAAATCAGTTATTTCTATATAAGGGTATATTTTGCAAAGAAAAGCTAGTGATAACGCAGACCAAAGAATAAAATAATTTAAAAATTATATTAATACTTGAAAATAATCAACTTCATTAAACTCTGTACTTTTTCCACTTCCATTTCTCTCTTGTAAACAGCTCATGTAACTTTAAAAGGCATTCCCCCAAAATAGTAAATCTGAAAATTAAAAAAAAACAAGTTATCAACTATACCAATAAAAATCAAATCTTACCCTAAAAACCCATCTTAAACACTACATTTGCCAACACCTCTGTGTTTTCACAGATGCTGAAGTCCTCTAGTTAAAATGATGCAGCCAACAGGCCCACAAGATATGCTGAATGGCTGAATACAGAGACTTCAACTTTGGACTTACGCTCTCACATTTATAAGCTAACAAACAGCCCTCAAATGTTATGCTTTTGTTTTAAAATATAAATATAGTCTAAAGCTTGTATAATTGTGTTATATAAATGCTTTTTAATATGAGAGGAATAAATATAAGTAATTTACACTTACAATATACATCACAAATTTTCTCATAATCTAAATAAATATGTGGCATAATGTCTCTCTTTGGTTTAAATAAACACTGCAGATACTTCTCTCCAGTGATCTGCAATACCTTATGGGAACCAGGTTAAAAATATGAAAATGAGGGATGAGAGATTGATTTGTTAGTGATTATGATCGTAAGAAAAAATGGAATTAACCAGAATCCTATGCTGTGTTCTCTCAGATTTTGTGTTCAAAACATTTGTTCAAAAAATGTAGTAAGAACAATTTCACAGCAGTTTTGGAAAGATAACCAGTCAGGAGCCAGGAAGCAGCACGTGCTCTGTGAGAGCAAACATTTCCTGCAACATAGCACAGTAACACTGGAGGTGGGAGAGCCGGTATGTGTCACCTAGTGTAAACCGGCAAGAGAAGAGCCGGTTCTGTGCGGAGTTCAGCTGATGCCATAACCAACTCTTTAAGCAACAAGGAATACACATGTGGACCTGGGGGTAGAACGCCATGAAGGATAAAACACCTACAAAAAATAATTTAAGTGTAATTTTTATAGAGAAGGAAAAACTGTGTCTATCTATGCAAGGCTTAGGAATTTTTGACTAAGAAAGTTGCTGTGTTGATTATAGATTTTTAAAATTATGTCTATCATATACCATGGACATGAACTATATGCAGGTCGTTTGAGATACTCACAGAATGATTGTAAGAAGGTTCCAATATCACAGGTAATGACATTTTCCCTTGAAGATTCAACTTGGTTAAGTAAAAAATCTTTTCCCCCACAATCTTTTCCTTTTTCATGCGATGTACACCATACAGTCTAAAGCGAACTGCGTAATTTCCAATCATCTCAGATTCGACGTGATTAAATTTGAATGTTTCTGTGAAGACGGGGCATGGTCCTCTTTGGATGCTGGTTTTTGCTCTCTGCTTCTTTATAGGTAGAAGAACAAGGTGTACTTGCCATGAGTTGCCACCTGCCCTGTTATATGCGGGGATGTCTGTGACAGCTGTCACTGTTACCAAAAGCTTCTGTTCTTGTGAGTCATAGTCAAAAGTCACATCCAGAGTGCCGTATTTAGCTTCTGGCTCAGGATCAAAAGGTTTAGGAAGCTGTGAAGATGATCCTTGTGCTGACATGTCCTAAGAAAAGAAATTTTAAATGTTTTCAGTTTCAAACTCTTATTATTTAATCTAGTATGTAAATAAATGTCTGAGAGTTCTTTAAAAGGGCAATGTAAAAACAAGCTCTATTTTCTACCACAAACTATTATAAATAGCAGTGAACTACAACCAAAAATTATCCTATAGGGCCAGAGCATTTAAGTGATATGTATTTATTTATTTTTATGTATTTAGTACAGGGTCTCACTATGAAGTTAGGACTTGCAGTGATCCTTCTGTTTTCAGTCTCTCCAGTCCTGGGATTGCAGGTATGCGTCACCATGCCCGGACTCGGTGGCCTGCTCAGCACGCCTGGGGATGGGGCTGGCGCAGCACGTGGGGGCAGAGATCAAACTCTGGTCCCTGCACTTGCCAAAGCAGGCACTTAGTCTACTGAGCTATTTCACTGGCCCTTACGTGGTAATTTAAACTAAAATCTATGATAAAAATACATTTTAAGTGAAATATATACTACTACAGTTTTGAGAAACCTGTACTTTTTATTTATAAATGAGAACTTAAAATATATACTTTAATATATAACTTTTCACCAGGGAGAGCTCAGCACCTTAAGTGCCTACCTGGCAAGCACAAGGTTCTGAAGTCTGACTCCTGGTATTAAACTTTGTTCCTTTAGTAAAAGACTATTAAATTTTATTTTTTCTTAATAATCAGTGAAACTGGCAGCTCAGTACTAGGCCACAGGGGAAGAGAATATAAATAATATGTTTAATACAATACAATACAATACAATACAATACAATACAATACAATACAATACAATACTGTTGACATATTTGGTTCCATTTTTAGGATTTGTCCAAAAATGGCCCCATCTACAACAGAACATTAACATAGTTAGCCTTAAGTATTACTGAAAATGTGCTATATGTAAAAAGCCTCACATATTTATTGGAGTCATATGTTTATTCTGCATGTCACAAACCATTTTTAGTCACTTTTTAGCCAGAATTAAAAATAATCTATTATTTTCCATTATTCAATATGGTTGAGATGAAAGAATACCTATTTCAAAAATGGAAAACTAAAGTGTGCATACCAATTATGGCACTAAAAGAAACTACTCTTTTACCTGCAAGTGTCTCAAGTTCCTGCCAGTCCATCTGGACTGCAGGAGGGGTGTCATCCAGTTACTGACAACACCAAAGCCAGACTTCTGACTTTTGACCACATCACTATGCCCCTGGAAGTATTTTAATGATTCTGAAATTATTTTTATTTTAAAATGTGGACCAATTCTATAATTTGCTCATCATGGCTTGTGTCTCCATGCAACCCACAGCCTCACGTGGTCATGGGTGGGGCTTTCTGGAGGTGCAGACCTTGGGGGAATGATCCTGGGATTAGGGGTGTGATGCTGAGATTGGTTCACTGGCGGATGCTGCGATTAAGGCTGCCCCACCCTGGTGTGAGTGCTACCCACCTTCAGGGCAGGGAGCTGGATAAAATATGAAAGACAGAAAGCAGGCTGCTGCTGCTGCTTGTCGCTCACTGCCTTTCTCGCCACTTTGTTCCTTCCTGCCCATCATGAATGGTCTCTCCCCCGCGAAGCCCTCTGGCATGCCACCCTGCCTTGGAGCCAGCTGACTATTGACTGAAACCTCTACAGACTGTGAGCCAAATCTCTCCTCCTCTAACTTGGGGTGCCCGGTGTTTTGTCACAGCAAGGAGAGGACCAAGTAAGGCATTCTTATACTTGTATTAGTGTCTACTAAGGCAGTGAATATTATGGACTCTAAGTTTCCTTTCTTCCATTTATTCAAAGAACTCCGGCTTCTCTGACTTTTGACTAGGGACACATATCTACAGAGACTGTATCAAATCTCAGACTGTCTCTTGTAGCTGGTATGTCTATGGCTTCAGCTTTGGCTTAACTATTGCACCTATCACACGTCAGTCTCTATTTTAGCTGTGTCTGTAGGGGGGACTCTTCATTCTACAGAAGAAAACCAAAATGACACGAGTCATGAAAATTGTAACTCTTACATAGAAATTGACATCATGTATGGACAAAAACATGAGTAACAAAGAGTGGTATTTGGGGAGAAATAACACATTTTCATAGAACTGAGTTTTTCTAATGTGTATGAGTAAATCAGGGCAAACGTTTTCATTCTTAAAAGTAGTTTAGAGAAACTGTCTTCATGTATGCTATTTCATAATTGTAACTAAAGATTATTAATGATATATCTTTGAGACTTCAATTAATTTTTTTAACAGTACCAGGGATCAAAATTGGGATTTTTCTGGGGTGGTGCTTATGCTGCTGAGCTACTTCCTTAGTCCCAGTTACATATTTTTAAGTGTCATGATGTCTAAGACATTTTGGGTAATATACATTTTTGTGAGATCCTGGATAATAGGTATTTATGAATTTGATTCCTCTGGTGCCTCCCTAATTTATTTATTTATTCTTTTGGTCTTTCTCTCTCTCTTTCTTTCTTTCTTTCTTTCTTTCTTTCTTTCTTTCTTTTGAATTCTGACAATTCTTACGAATCCAAGAGTTAAAGAGTGACAAGTTTTAACAGATAAAAGCTGTTATCTGCATTATT